GGAAAAATCACAGGAAAAAGTAATAACAGGATCTGTTTGCTCTGTTGACAGTGCAGACTTCAGAGGGTAGAAGGGAATTGGGGGAAGAAAAGAAACTGGTTTGTGAGGTGCACTGCAGTGTTAGAGGGGGGCGGTGGCAGGGCAGCGGACAGTCAGGGACCAGAGCTGGAGTGCTGGAGACCTCTTCAGCAACCACTGAGTGGACTGCCATAGTTTTCAGACATGAGAATGAGACAAACACCCCACCTCCACTCCCACCCCCATTGATTCGGCCTTTGGGCTCAGCCCTACTTCTGAAAAATCTGTGCTCGGAAAGTTGATTCTTCAACCCAGTGGCAGTCTGCCTGGTCAGACTGGGCGCTGGCTGGGAGGAGACTGGGGCCTCTGCCGGCTGAAACCTGGGCTGAATGCCTGGTTGGCAACCACCAGTGAGAAGGCGGGTTCCCAGGCATGTATCCATCTAACGAAATAGCGCCGCCTCTGGTCCCTGGTGGGGACACACCTGGGAAGGAGTGTGTTGCCTCCCTCCCCGCCTCCCCCTCCCCAAGCTACAGCCCAGGCAGTGAGCAACATTCCAGCGTTCAGAAAGTAGCTTAGGAAAAGGAGGAGCAGGTGTGCGTAGCTTTCTTGCCTCCAGTGATTTCCTCAGGGGACTCAGAGTTTTCTGGTCGAATCATTTTCCTGCCTAAACTTCAGAGCAGCAATGGAGACTGCCCCCCCCCCGCGCCCCCATTCTTATCTGTCTGTGGAAAAGGAGTTTGGGCTTCAATAGGGAGTCATTGGAGAATACGACGTACTACTAGAGTCAGAAAAGGGGCTTGAACTGAGTTCATGCGAGGGACTGATATGTTCGATGGCTAGGCAGGAGAAGTCACAAGCCTTGGTTGATAGGTCATTGTGGGGTTCAGAGGTAAGAGGTGATAGGATGATTTGGCGGTCTCTCACCAGGCAACTGGGGCGGCCCAGTGCTGTGCTCCGAAAGGGGGCAGTGGAGATCATGAGTTCTGAGATTCGAGCAACCAGAGTGAGGAAGGTTGATGGATATGAGATGAGTGTTTTGTGGTCTGGCTAGAGATGGGCAATGTAGACACTTCACACGCAGACAACTTCTGTTCGAGTGGAACATCTCTTCAAGAAGCAGGCGGAGGGTCGCTCACTGGGCCGCCTGCTCCGCACACTGTCATTCATTTCACACCAACACTAATCTGGGTGATGCGTGTGGGTCTTCTTAAACCTTCAATAGACTCCAACAGTGATGATTTGGGATGTCCGTGTTAATAAAGGGATAGTGGAAGACATTCCAATACTCTCTCTCCTATCATGATGGAAACAAGAGACAATTTGCCATACGGTTTACTAAATCAGGGAAAAAAGATACCTTCTCCCTTTTCCCCTCCTCCTGTTCATTTTTAATCCCCCTTTCCAAACCGACCTTGCCTCAGACTCCTGTCTTAAAGCTTTGTGGGGAAAAGATGGCATCGGTGTGCTGAGAGCATCTAAAGCACATATGTTCCATCTCCGGTGAGAACTGAGGAGCAGGCTTACGTGGGAGAGGGAGGAATGTAGGCTTGACATAAAGAAGGCTTTCTTAAGGAGTAGCTTGGGGAAGCAAGTTGTGGAGCTGCATTCTGGGAAGATCTGGCAGAGTCGGAGAGAGCGCCTTTGGTCTGTAGCGTTTCATGGGAGACCTCCAGGGATCCTTGACAGGCAGTGCTGGGAGACCTATTAAAAGGGAAGTCGTTTCTGGTCTTATTTTGAATTCCCTCCTGTCAGACCCCAGGCCCAAACAAAACGCCTCTTCTCGCAGACGTCCTGGGTGCCGCTTCACTTGCTACTGAAGGATAAAGTGGCCAGAGGTTAGGATGTCATTGCATTTTGTCTGTTTAAGAATCAAGAGTCTGAGAATCTAGCCCCAGTTCCATTTCTGTAACCTTGGGCAAGCCACTTACCTTTGGGGGCCCAATAGGTGCATCTCATACCCCAGGGGCTTGTGGGTTGAAATGAGGTGGTGCCTAGCACGTAGTAAGCACTCGGTGTGTGAGGGACTGTGGCCATTATGATAATGCATGTCCCACCTACCTGGCTGGAAGAATAAAGTAGTGTGAGCGGCCTTTGAAAAGCAAAAGTCACTATGCAAGGATAGACCTGTAATTATTGTGCTAGAGTACTAAGTGAGAGGCCCTTTGGGTGGTGGTGGCTTGGGGAATGGGAACTGTTATGAATGGGACCGCCAGCTCCGGTTACTGGATCCTTTGACAGGTCTCCAGAATTTCCTATTCCCTTGCTCTGGGTCCTGTGGATTGGATACACAGGCCCCACCTGGTTTCTGGAGATTGATGATGGAGGGACAAGGGAAAGCGGGCATGCTGGGGCCCTGTGGCTGCGTGGAAACCCTCCCAGTTGCTGGGTCTGGCTGGGGGTTTCCTCGTGGGCTGGGGTCATCATCTCGTGTTTCCCTTGCTGGAATCCAGCTCACAGCTGGCTCTTCGCAATGTGTTTGGTTACTCAGCTGTCAGGGAGGGTTTCTGGGTTAGGGAGCAGGGCCCCCAGCAGGAGGAGAAGAGGGAGCCCCCACATGCCCTCTGCTGCTCCTCCTGGTGCAAGCTTTGAGGAAGTTCTTTGATGCGGTGCTTTGCAGCTCGCTGAGTCAGCTGGGAGGAGGGGCGGCACAGGGCAGTGAGGCTGCTTGGGAGAGGGTCAGGGGAAGGGCAGGCTCAGAGAGCAAGGTTGACCTTTGACCTATACCACGGTCTGAGGCTGTTGCCAGCACCTGGGCAGGAGACGGCTGCCACATGTGTTTGCCCCAGAAAGAGCAGCTCACGAGGTTCAGGCTGGGAGTGTCCCTGAGGGAAATGGCAGTATTTCTTACAGCAGCTCTGGCACACACACAGCAACCAAGAAGGAGCAGCTAGGGGTGGACCTTGGTGGTGTTTTCAGGTCACTCCAGGCTTATGGAGAGAGTCCTTGTTTGGTCAAATGGCTCCTACCTGAAAGAGTGGAGGTTCCACCCAAGGTGTCCTGGCAGAAAGGCCAGCAGATTGACTTGCCCAAAATCAGCCACTGGAAACCCTGTAGAGCACAGTTCCACTCGGATGACACACATGGGTCACCAGGAGTTGGGGTCAATGCAATGGCCCCTGGTCAGGTGTGCACATCTCCAGCCAGTCAGGTAGGGACTTGCGTCCTAGCGCTACCACTTATTTAACTTAAGCAAGTTACTCAAATGCGCTGAACACCCAGTCCGCGCTGCCATTGAATCCATTCTAATTCTTAGCGACCCTGTAGGACAGAGTAGGACCACCCCATAGGCCTGCCTCGGCTGTAATCTCTATGGGAGCAGCTCACCAGGTCTTCCTCTCACAGAGCAGGCGGTGGGTTCGAACCGCTGGACTTCCCGTTGGTTAGCATTGCACCGCCAGGGCTCCTCACTGAGGTACAGCGGGTTAAGCAGCTTGCCCAACATCATAGCTTTGCTTACATGGCAGAGCGAGGACGGTGAACCCACACGTTTGGATCCTAAGCCCCTATTGCAACCATTCAGCTGTGAGAGGCTCTCCTGTGCAAGAGAGGATATTCTGACCTAGATTTAGGCACATCCCAGGGCTCTCCAGTTACCTCAAGGACTTGTTTTCCCAAATGTGATAGATTAGATTCTTGCATCTATAAAATAGTGTGGATATTTTCCCTTAAAAAAAAAGACTTGCGAGATAATATGCAAAGTATGCGTCCATCTAAGAAAAAGCAGTTTCCAAAAGTTGGACCTCTGTTCTAGGCCCTGATTGTAACCAGAGTCTCTGTGGCCACATGCTTTTGAGAACGAGCGTGTAATTTTAAAGTTGCCCGAGTGTGTTTTCCTGGGGCTTTCTAAGAAGCCACACAGTGAGCTGGAGAGATGTGCAAGTTGCCATCCTCAGGGACGGCTTCTGACAGCTCTGCTCCTCTTGTCTTGTCGACGTGCGAATGAAAAGCTCTAATTGGCCAGGGGCTGGGACACATTCCTTCTTGTAGTGAGGAGGCAGCATCTCTTACTCTATGACCCTCCCCAGCCCCCTTCTTGACCCGAAGGAGAGGGGCCAGCATGGGGAAGTGGGAGGACGCTGAGGGTGACATGGCAACTGGGCTGGCAGGGTGGGCATTGACATCGGGCTCAGTCCTCCCCCGAGCTCCATCCAGACAAAGCCAGGTCTCTGTGATCTGGGAACCAGAGTGTAGCACAGTGGGTCGAGTCAAGCACTCTAACTATTCCCTGAATGACGAAGTGACTGAATGCGGCTTTCTTGTAAAGCCCACGAGCCAGCGTCTGCCAGTTCCTTGTATGGCTCTAAGAAAGCTGTCTCAATGGAGTCATCCTGCAATTGGCTGTCGCCACTCACTGTCCTCTTCCTGAGATGCATGGTGTTGGTGCAGGGAACCCATGCTTGTTCGTCGGCAGTAGTGTGGCGATTACAGGGTGATGACTGCCAGTCACCATCAGGGCTCTCTTTTCCGTTCTCAGGAAGATGTTTAGGCTGCCACGTGCCCAAGTTGTCTGTTTTCTTTTCAGTACCTAGTACATGGTTAAGGAGCCCTGGTGGCCGAGTGGATTACAAGTTGGCCTGCTAACCACACGCTCAGCAGTTGGAAACCAGCAGCTGCTCTGCAGGATGAAAACGAGGCTCTCTCCTCTGGCAAAGATGGACAGCTGGAGAAGCCCACGGGGGCAGTTCTACTCTGTCCTGACGGCATTGAGTGTGGTTTGGGGCACCTAGTTACTGTTGAATAACTACTACTGAGAGAAAAGGGGAGGAGACAAAGACAGGGAGAGAAGGCAGGAAAGCAAGCAGTCAGGTGTGTCTCTTACTTGAACCACAGCTCCAGGTGGGCCACCCTTCACTCCTGGGGCCCCCAGCACCTGCCATAGTCAAAGGGCCCCCGAGCTTAGGGCTGAGCTGAGAGAGATTTGCCGTAGACCCGGGAGCAGCTCCTCTGCCCGAAAGTGACCTGTCTTCTTGCTTCTGCAGGTGTGCTTTCCCTCCCAGCCTACTTCAGTCCCTACAACGGCGGCCCGTCCCTGGGCCACGACGAGAGGGCTGATGCCTACGCCCAGCTGGAGCTCCGCACCCTGGAGCAGTCTCTCCTGGCCACGTGTGTGGGCAGCATCTCGGAGCTGAGTAAGTCGGCAGCCATGGCTCTTAGGGGGCAGGGGGAGAAGGCAGGGAGTGCTCGCCTTTGGGTATGGTGTCCTCCTCTTAGTCTACACCTGTGTCCTCCCTCACACACACACACACACACACACACACACACACACACACACACAGATGTGTGGAGTGGCCAGCATGTTGATTTCATCCCATGTGAATCTGGATTTCGGTCTCTCTTGGGAAAGCCAGATGATCTCATGTCACTGTGCTCTGTTCTCCCATGGCAGCCATCAGGGGAGCCATGAGTTCCCCGTGTCATCTGGCTGCTGGGCTACTTTGTTCATTTGTCTGACCTGCTGGCCCCAAACCAATTAACCTCCTGCCCTCAGGTGGATTCCCAACTCATGGCAACCATGTGTTTCAGAGTAGAACTATGATCCATCAGGTTTTCGGTGGCAGATTTGTTGGAGTAGACTGCCAGGCCTTTCTTCCAAGGCACCTCTGGATTAGCACACACCATGACTTCTCAGCAGCCAAGTTTGTGCACGGTTCCCACCACCCAGGCACTCTGGGCACCAGAAGACGCTGCATTTATAGGCAGTACTCTTAGTTGAAAGAAATTACCCATGAAAACTCAACATAAATAAAAGCTGGCTTTTCTGGCCAGACGAGGGTGAGGTCAGGTGGGTCCTATCCATTTGCCCCACTTAGCCCCTGACCTACAGGAGCCTGGGCATCTCCTAGGACCTCGGAGCTCTATGGATCATAGTTGGGAGCCTATTGGTCTAGGGCATAATGGCCGGACGCTTCAGGAGTGTGTTAGAAAACAGGACATTTCACGCCCCACCCCCCACACTCTGCCTCATTCTTTTCATGAGACCACCCAGTGGGCAGTGATCTTAGCACCTAGCAGAGGTGAGCTCCAGATCAAGAAACCCTGCCATCAAACTGACTTCAGCTGGAGCTGTAAATCTTTACGGGAATGGACCACCTCCTCTTCTGCCCTCAGAGTGGCTGGTTCTTCTACCCCACAGAACCCCCAGGGCTCCTTTCTCGTCATTTCTCTGGGTTTTCTGCACATGGGCAATGATAACAGACCTCTGTTTTCTCAGGACAGTCTCCCCGCTCTATTCTTCCTCTCCATCCCAGGTCAGGGGATGACATGACTGGTTCAAGGTCACAGACTGTTCTATACGAGGAGCCTTCAAAAAGTTTGCGGGGAAATCCCATGATCTTTTCATTACATTTTCCCACATTTCCTGGCACCCCCTCTTATGGAATGTGCCTAGGAGACAAAGAGAGGGGGAGAGGTTCATTCTTTGTGTCCTGGCAGCTACAGTGCAGCCAGGGCTGGCACAGCCACTGTGGGTCACCAGCCCCTGCCAGGGCTCCTGCAGGATGGGGACTTGGGGGTGTGACTTGGTGTCAGCTCCTGGCAAGTGTCCCTTCAACTGTCTTTGTGGCCACAGAGAGTCTGGGTTTCCTTGAGCTGGCCTGCACCGCGAGGAGGGCCACTTTAGCCCCCTGTCCACTGGAGCACGCTGCGGCTTCCCTCGCCTGTGGAGCACCCACTGAGCACTGACGGTACAGCACCGGGTGATGCCTCTGGTTCTCAGGACCCCAGTCCTTCCTCTGATCAGCCCCGTGAGGGCTGCCCTTATGAGGAGATCAAGGTTTGGCGAAGAAAAGTGGGGTTTTCAACCTCAGAGCAGGGGGGGCTTTACTCCTCTTGTGTCTGACTTTAGCTTGTAACCCTTTAGTGCCAGGGATTTCTTAGGTGCAGTTAGTACCCAGCCACCAGCACCTCTCTGGGCAGGAGAGGTCAAGATGGGCGTCTACCCATTGCCATTTCTCATGGTGGCCTCTTGGACCTTAGACTCCACAGCCCAGCACCAGGGCAGCAGTAGCTCAACATGGACAGTGTCCTTCAGGGGGTTCCGGTTCTTATGTCTCAGTCCGGAACCAAGTCCTATTGGTTCTCCTGAAAACTGTCCTGGGTTTTAGTGTGCCCTGTCACTACCTCCCCTGCTCCCAAGTCAGGGCTTCTCTGCACAACAGCCACCCCACCCCATCCTACCTGTCAGCTCATTCAGTAAATCCCAACTCCTCTCTGCTGCATGAAGTCCAATGTTGGACCCCACCACCATTCCCGCTGACTGAGCTCCAGCCCCCTCAGCCTCCTGGTGGGGTCCACTCCCACTTCGTGCAGAGCCTTTGCACCCTACCCTAGATGCCTGAATAAATTCTACCGTTCACATTCAAGTCTCTGCCCAAATGGTAGCTTATCAGACAGGCAGGCCTTCTGGCCTAAATGAGCACCCCCCCCCCCCCCAAATACTCTGCCTCTCCTCTTTGGGTTGTGGTTTTATTCGTAGTACTGATCGCCACTTTATCATTTAGTCATCTGTAAATAGTGTATCACACCCCACCCGACCCCCAACTAGATCGACATGGATTCCCAAACTTATTTGGTTTACCATCCCCTCTTCAGAAAAAAAAGAATTAGCATCTTCCTGCCATTTAAAACGTTTGGACTATAGTCCGTAATCCAGGATGAAGTTTGGGTATCTGCTTTTGCAGCCCCCCTGGCTTGTCCCCGGACCCCTAGGGTAGGGTGGGGAGGCAAGTGTTAGCACTCACTCACTTTGGGAAACTCTAGATTACAGTGTCAGCTTCACGAGAAGAGAGACGTTATCTGTTGTCTCCACTGCTGTCTCCCAGCACTTAGACTAGTGTACTGCACACAGAAAACCTGACTGTGTGTGTGCGCGGGCACACATGTATGTTCATGTGCCTGCATACGTGAGTTCTAGCCCCCTAGAACACTCACCTCATTTTGGTCCACATCCAGGCCCAGCCGCTCATTGGGGCCAAGAGAAGCATCCCTATAGCATCTTTTCACAGACAACAAAACAGGCCTTATCATGTGCCAAGCCGCCCCAGCTACCGCCCTCTGAAATCAGGGATTTCGCTAAGCTGCGGTGAAGGAGGAGGAGGCAGAGGTGGAGACAGATAGTGCACGCTAGCTCCCCGAGACTGAGGAACTTAATGAGGTTAATGATACTTGGCACTGGGCTCCTGGTTCTTAAGAGGTGACCCTGGTTTTACTTGCACTAGCTCCGCGCCTCACCAAGAGCAGCCTGCTAGGTCGGTTCCAGAGTTTCGTCTCAGTATCCAGACCAGCTGCACAGGGAACTTGGGCACTTGTGTTTTAACCTGCCCCTTTCCACCCGTGGACACCTAGAAGGGAGGGACTTCTTCCTCAAGCGGGCCAGGTGTGGCAAGCCTCATTTTTGAAGACTCTCTCGCCCTCTGTTTTTGATTCGCCACCTCGTGATGCGGTTGGAAAGAGCAGAGTGAACCCTGCAGCGCCTCTCCTGGCCTCTCAGGGTAACTAGAGGTGAGGGCTTGTTTTCCCGGCCCAGCGGGTGTTTCTGGGCTTCAGACTAAGGTTTCATCCAAGCCTAGGCCTAACTGAGTCGCAAGTACCAGAACGTTTCTGTGCGAAAGGCCTGCTCACCCAAGAGCCCAGCACAGCACTTTACCCCCAGTCTGTTGTCGTCAGAGACTTTTAGGAAATCCAATACAAAGTGAATGACTACAAAAAAGGAGGTCAAAGGCATGCAAAGTGCAAGCCCAGTTCTCCTCCTGCTCCTCCTCCTCCTCCTCCTCCCCTGCATGTGCAATGATTGCCATAAAACTGGTTTCCGAGACTCACTTTTCTGAGACATCCCTTGGGAGGTGGGGGAGATTTGTGCAAGTGGTGAGTCACTCGTCTGCTAACAGAAAGGTGGGGGGTTCGAGTCCACCAGGGGTACCTCAGAAGAAAACCTGGGGATCTACTGGGAAAATCAGCCCTTGAAGCAGTTCTGCTGTCACCACTGCCAGACACCACGAGTCAGAATCTATGGCAGCGGTTCTCAACCTGTGGGTCGCGACCCCTTTGGGGGTCGAACAACCCTCTCACAGGGGTTGCCTGATTCATAACAGTAGCAAAATGCAGTTATGAAGTAGCAACGAAAATAATGATTGGGGGGTCACCACAACCTGAGGAACTGTATTAAAGGGTCGCAGCCTTAGGAAGGTTGAAAACCACTGATCTATGGCAACTGGGACTCCACTTCCAAATTGAACTTGTTGGGAACCAGTAACAGATAATCCAAGGAGGGCCCATCCCATTTCCCAGACCCCGCTTCCAGTAGCAGTGCGGGCACTTCGGACGTGGGTTGGGGAAACAGGAACCCTGGGCATTTTAAGTCCCAGCTGGTCCACTTACTGAAGAACAGCTGGGGCAGGTGCTGTCTCTCTTTGAGCCTATTTCCTGGTCCCCTCCCTGGGTGGCTGTAAATGCGATGTGAGATTGTGTTCATCTCCGAGCCCAGAAAACGGAAGGGGCAGGTGGAAGGACCCCACCCCCACCCCCCAGGGAGAACATTGAAAGTGGGCTGCCTGCAGCGGAGGTGACTGTGTTTGGCAGGCCCGGGTGGGTTTCAAGACTCCCGGTCGGCCATCCACAAGCTTCTGTGGTTTAGGGGTCTGTCTTGGCCTGTCGTTTGGCTGCCGTCTGCTCTCCTGAACCTTTGAGGAGTTACTGCCCCTGGTCCCGTGGAGGCCAGATACGGGGGCCTCAGCAGGCGCTCCTGTTGCTCCCCTGTGTGCTGGCTGGGAAGGCGTTGCCCGAGGCGTCTACACCAGTAACAATGAAACGACAATAAAAATAATTATTCCTAATGGCTCCTACCTTGTCCAGCCTTTGAAATGATATTTCAACAAGAGCTCCTTTTGATGCTATCAGAGGCCCTTTCCTCTCTCCTTGCGGCCCTGCCAAGTCTTACCTCTTAGGCCTGGGAAACCGGCGCTGGTTTCAGTAGATTGCTGCCATCCCAGCTTGGTATGCCAGTTTCTCCCACCCAGGAGCTCCAAAGGCAGGGCAGGGCAGGGCCGGGACCCAGCGTCTCAGGGCTCGGACTCCTGCCCTGAGAAAAGTGGGCCAGTGGCTGCCTACAGGCAGAGTTCCAGGGAGAGTGCCCCAGAAGTGGCCCGTGGGACAGAGGCACAGCTGCAGCAGTCACACTGGTGACCATTCTACGTTTAGCCTTCCTGCACGCACGAACCACGCAAGCACTATGCGGAGGGCCTTACCCTTACTATTCCTTCGGGTTCGCAAGCCTGTAGAGTCGGCACTGTTACTCGTCCTGTACATGAGGAAGCATGGGCTCCAGTGAGTGACTCACAGAAGGCCATCCAGGTGGAAGTAGCAGGGCCGTGGTTGGAAGCTGGGTCCCACTCTGAAATCCGTGCTCTGAGCACTTTGCCAAGTAGCTCTCTAACCCGATGGGCGGTTAGAACTGCTGAGGGACCATTTGTACAATGCAGGTGCTCACCTGCTCCACCAGCTGCCACAGACTTACCGAAGAGGAGGGTGAGGAGGCTGGGGAGATGAGACCCAGGTGTCATTCCAGTCACTCACAGTTCTGCCAGGAGGACATCCCAGGCTGCTCAGCTAGATTCTGGTGGTTAAAGGGAGCAAACGAGTGGGGACATGGGAGTAGGGAGGGGTCTGGAAGTTCCCCAGTCCCAGGAACACCTTTGGTCCCTGCTTGGAAATGACCGCAGTTGTTATGGCTGTCCAGTCCAGGGAGAACATGGGCAGCTAGTGGCTAAGGTTAACAATCTCCGCCCCAGAGCTTGTATTTTAAGTGAAATGAATGGGGAGGCTATTCCTGAACTCTTTGGTCAAATACTTGCTGTGTGCCTGTTCTGCAGTAGTCCCTGGTGGGCTGGGTAGACCCTGGTGGGGTGTGGTAGTCACTGGGGGCGTGTGGTAGTCCGTGGTGGGCTGGGTAGTCCCTGGTGGGGTGTGGTAGTCACTGGTGGGGTGTGGTAGTCCGTGGTGGGCTGGGTAGTCCCTGGTGGGGTGTGGTAGTCCCTGGTGGGGTGTGGCAGTCCCTGATGGGGTACAAGTAGTCCCTGGCAGAGTGCAGTAGACCCTGGTGGGATGTGGTAATCCCTGGTGGGGTGCAGTAGACCCTGGCAGGGTGCTGGGGACACAGCTGAATGTCACCTATAGTGCCCGCACCAACCTCTCCAAAGCCACATATTAAAAGTTAATTGAATAAATGAGTTAATTGGTTTTGCCATCCTTTTATTGGTGTTTCACTGGCCAAATTACAGCCCCGTAATTTCTCCTTCCCACCTTCCGGTGGGCTGAGTCCAGGGCTGTGTGTGCGGAACTCCCCAGGTCAGGTCAGGGTCTGAGACGAGTGGAAGGGCCCCTTCTTTCCCAGGCAGGAGGTGCTGCAGGTGCCTGGGGCTGTCTCAGCCCTGCCTTTCTCAGTATTGTGGCCCCACACAATGGTGGGGCACTTCCTGTCCTGGCTGGAGGAGGGATATTGAAAAGGCCCAATGTGGGCAGAAACACACACAGGATATGGGACCCTGAGGAACCCAGAGCTTCCAAAGGGCAGCAGGCAGCAGCTGGTCTCAGTTCAGTTTAAAGACTGAAGTCAAACGGGCCTGGACTCAGCTCAAGCCCCCCTACCACTTACTGGCCGTGGTCCCCTGGCTGGTTAACACCACCATCTTCACTACCACACCCTGTGCCAGAGGGCCACCTGGGCTCAGTTTGTCTGTTCGTTAAGCTTCAGCGGTTTCATCTGTGCGGTGCGGCCAAGGTTGACCCTTTTGGCTGTAAGGGACAGTGGTCGAGCTATCTCTCACCTTTCATGCTTGGGCCCTGGGATCCATCTGTCAGCATAGGCTTGCGTGTCGCTGTGATGCTGACCGGCTTCAGTGGAGCTTCGGGGTTAAGACAGACAAGAGAGAAAAGCCTAGTGGTCTGTTTCCCAAACAAGCAGCCAGTGAAAGCATTCGATCACCACAGTCCAATCTGCTGCCAGCCGTGGGGATTGTGCGGTTCACCCCACTATGTGTGGACGGCCGTGCGCCCGGCCAACCTGACGGAAGGCAGCAGCACTCACGGGGCTGTAAGGATCCAGCCCTGCATGGACCTGCGGCTTCGCTCTGTAGCACGCACTTGTGCTCTCGGCCTGTGGTAGACACTGTCACCGAAGCCGTGTGCAGACAGAAGGGCTGGCTGCCTCTGCTGAAGGAACTGGGCTCTTTGCATAACAGCCCACGGAGACTCTGCCGAGGCTGGAGCTGATGGTTCCGAGGCTGGGAGAAGAGGCCGGCCCAGATTCCCGGGGCCCTAGGGAAGGGCATGGGTGGTGGAGAGAGTGGGGATGTTGAAAAGGAAACCGCATTAGCATAGGCTCTGGCAGAGACTGCTCTGCCAAGCAATCAAGACTGCAAGTGAAAGGGAAATGAAATTGCTATTGTGCGCCTAGGTGACAGTTTCAACCCCCGCCCACTGGCTGGGGGTAAACAGTAATTAAAGGAAGGGAGCCCTGCTCTGCGGTGCAGCGGGAGTCTCTCTGGAGGAGTGTGGGCAGAGCACCCAGACTCTGTCTTCATTCCCGTCACCCCCCCACCCCGCCTCTCTGCAGGTAGAGCACTCTAACTGTCTTCTCTCCCCTCCCCACCCCCACAGGTGACCTGGTCTCTCGTGCCATGCACCACATGCAGGGCCGCCACCCCCTGTGTCCAGGCACCAGCCCCGCCCGGCAGGCCCGCCAGTCGCCACAGCCCGTCACCTGGTCCCCTGATGCCCTCCACACACTCTACTACTTCCTGCGCTGCCCACAGATGGAGTCCATGGAGAACCCCAACCTGGACCCCCCGAGAATGACCCTGAACAATGAACGGTAGGCATCCTCCCGGCAGAGCCCTGGAGCCGGACTGCAGTGCTCTAGGGGAAGGCCTGGCCCTGTGTGGAGGTCGCCCTGGACGCCTGCAGCACTGTCACTGAGGGGCAACACCAGCCCCCGTGCAGGGTCTGTGCCCACTCGAGCTCCCGAGCGGGTCTCTCTGGCTTTCGTTGCCTGTTTCATACAACAAGGTGCCCCCTCTGCCTGGAGAGGTGGGGGTGGGGGGTGAGGAAAGACACAAGACCGAGGCTGGGGGTAACCAGGACTTCGAGCCAGTTCTCCCAGTCAGCCAGGGCCAATGAAGCGGGACCAGAGTGGACCCCAGCCTGTAAACTGTGGGTGCATGGGGATGAGAACCAGGCAGGAGCAATGACGGGCCAGCAGCCTGCTCTCTGCTGCTCGTCCCACAGTTGACTTGCCAAGACCACACAGGCTGTGCGTGTGTCCGCTGCACCAGACCTACCTTCAGATGTTTATGGGGAAACTCCATTATCCCTTCGTTCCGCCTCTCTCCCCACAGACTTTTTGAGGCTCCCTCGTACATGCATATGTGTGTTAAATGTCTAATTATTTCAAAGCCACACTGTGACACAGATCCATTTGGAGCCAAGTGATTATCTGTGAATCATTCCAAGTGAGTAGTAACAGAAAAGAAGGATACATAACCTTTGCATTTTGGGCTCTAAAAGGAGGTCACCCTAAAAATACCCGGGCTCTCTGTGGCCTGGTGCCCAGCTGCCCTCCCTCAGTTGTCCCCAGACTGACAGGCCCTGGGGTCTTGAAGAGCCCCGCCTGCAAGCGCTGGTGACACTGAGCTCCAGTGCCACTGCAGGCTGGGCCCCTGTCCCCTCCATGCTGTCCCACCCTGCTGACCCTGCCAGGGCTCTGGGCCACCTTCTCTCCGTGTACCGAAAGGGGGTGGGGTCTATGAGGTGTGACTAAGCTCTGGTGTGACCGAGCTCTGCTTGCATGGATTTGAGGCTCTCTCTGGGTCTGTCTGTCTCTCATTCTTGCTCTCCTCCTACCCCTTTTCATTTCCTTGGAGTGCTTTCTGTCCTTTCCCAGGAGTATGGGGGACCGAGTCCACCGGCCAGAATTAGACAGAGCCTCCAGCTCCCACAGTGAGAGATGGAGCTTCCTCCTCCCGTAAAGAGTGACAGTCTGGGAAACTCACAGGGGTAGATCTCCCCTGTCCCAGAGGGTCACTGAGTGCCATCGACTGGAGGGCAGTGAGTCATTTGTTTTTCTGCCTCCTACAGTGGCCATGGGCACGTAACCTGGAGGCCTCTGTTGGGGGATTTGGTGGCTGTTTGAGCAGTCTCTTCCACATGGGCTAAGTCATCACTCAGTTTGAGGACATGGGTGGCCACTCAAGTCCTTGCTCAATCTGCTTATTTCTTTGAAGAAATACATCCTAATTCATTCATTCCAGTCACGGCTATCTGACCACGTCCATGCTGACAGAAGGAAGGCCCGGGCATCAAGCTTATTGTGACAGCCCTGGCTAAGACAGAAGCAGCAGGGTCTGGATGGCAAGTGGGGCAGCTTTGCAAGGACCGAGCAGAAGTTCCAGCATCTCTCCAACCGCTGCCCGTGTCCCCACCACCCGCTGGCTACAGCAAGCCAGGCAGCATCAGGAAAGCAGGCAGGGGCCTGGGTCAGACTCCAGCAAAGCCGTCTTAGTCATCTTTACCTGGCAGGGTACCTCTTGAAGTTAAAGCCAGCTCTTCCTTTCAGAGGGCATTCCCAGCAACTTCTGTTTCTCACGGGCCCACAGAGCCTCAGCACGGTGACCTCCGTTTTACAAAGAGGACACATGGCTGCAGGTCACTTAGCTGTCGGTGGCTGGACAAGTTGTTAAGCCAGGTGTCTCTGACCTCACGGCCCTTGCCTTTCACCTGGGGCAGACTGTGCCTCTCCCCCTGGACTCTGGGACCCACTTCTGAGGCTCAGAGCCCAGCCGGCTGGACCCAGGCCTGTGAGGCAGCTTCCTCCCGGGCATTCCAGCCTCACCTGCCTCTCCCCTCCCAGGCCCTTTCCTCCACTCGGCCAGAGCCTCCCTGCACCTCCCCAGGTCTCTTTCCTCCCAGCTGCCCTGCATCTCAGGCACCAGTACCACATGCGGCAGGCCCACAGCCAAGGTTAATCCCTACTGCTGCCCTGCTGGAAAAGTGAAAGAACTTCCTGTCATAGACCCAGGGTTGCCAGCAAGGGTGGGTGCCTCCTGCCTTAGAGGCCTGGAGGAGAATGTGCAAGCATCCAGCAAAGCATGGACCTTGCTAGATGTGCCCAGGACCAGGGCAATGAGCACTTTCCTCTGCAAAGAAGGGGGCCTCGCTGCTCGTCATCCTCCACGTGTTGCCTGTGAGAATGGGGACAGTGGCTGCAGTAGACACACAGGCCTGCCACTGCGTCAGGCACATTGCTGGAAGCCCCTGTCGCTGGCTGCCGTAGACACACAGGCCTGCCACTGCGTCAGGCACATTGCTGGAAGCCCCTGTCGCTGGCTGCAGTAGACACACAGGCCTGCCACTGCATCAGGCACATTGCTGGAAGCCCCTGTCGCTGGCTGCCATAGACACACAGGCCTGCCACTGCATCAGGCACATGGCTGGAAGCCCCTGTCGCTGGCAGAGAAGATGGGGAGCGGGGCAGGGGAAGCCAGATGTGGTTATCGGTGCAGAGGGGCTGAGACCGAGTGGTGGGCCAGTTCCCTCCATCAGGGCACATTTCCTGGAGAGCCTTGGGCTCACCAGGCTCAGTTCCAGACCACAGCTAAGAAATTGGACCTTTGAGGAAGACTGGGAATAATGGGGGCTCATTGGTGCCCCACAAGTGCATGTGGCCCCGTGCCCCCTCCCCAGCCTTTCATGGTGCCCCATCTCGAAGGGAGGCAGACTTCAGAAAGCTTGGGAGCTGAACCAGGAGGAGAGTGGGGGGCCCAGCCAGAGTCTGATGTGGGACGGAGCTAGGAAACATTAGCTGTCATGAATTCCCAGCCAGCCAGAGCCGAAAGCTATAACCCCCGAGTTTCAAGTGGCAGCAAAGTCACCCGTGGCAGACAGGTTTTAGAACTTCTGGACTAAAACACCAGAAGAAAGGCCTGGTTCCAACTCTGACACCTTGGGGTCACAATGGATGGTGACCTGACGCGGTGCTAGGAGATGAACCCCTCGGGCCGGGAGGTGCCCACAGTGCACAGCGGCCACAGCAGTGGACCCGAGCAGACAGGGACCGTGAAGATGGTGCGGGACCGGGTGGCACTGCATCCTGAGGTGCACGCAGGGGGATGGCCCTGAGTCGGAACCGACTCAACAGCGACTAACAGCAGTCGAGTGAAGTGCTCAGTGCCTGGCTCGGTAAAGTGGCCAGTACTGACTGGATAGGGAGGAGCCCTGGTGGCGTCGTGGTTATGCACTGGGCTGAGATCTGAAAGCCCAGTAGTTCGAAACCACCAGCCACTCCTCAGGAGAACAATGGAGCTTTCTGTTCCTGGAAACAGTTAACGAAATTCAGGGGGCAGTTCTACCCTGTCCTATGGGGTGGCTGTGAATTGGCATCGACTCGGTGGCAGCGAGTGAGTATTAAATAGTGACTGCCACCAACCGCATCTTCATCTTCCTGAGGATTACAAACTCATACGCAGACGTGGAGATAATGTTGAACACGCACAATAGGCTCTCTTCGTTGACATCGTATGACACTTCAGATCATGTTCTCCAATGGCATCAGGGTCAGTCACACTACCAGTGCCACCAGAACCTGCCACCGGCCGCTCACTGCAGCGTCACTCAGCAGTGACAGGTACCATCTGATGTGCTTCCCTGCATCCACTCCTACTGCGCTTCTGTCGGCCAGTGGAGAAGGGGTCCAGGAGGAGCAGAGGGACCTAGGTGGTTGAGTCCCCTTGCATTATGTCAACCTTCAGGCTCTGGATTCAAATCTCAGCTCTGCTCGTTACCCAGCTGGGTGGCCTCAGACAGGCCCTTTGGCCTCTGCACCTCAGTCTCCTCGTCTGAGAAAGAAAATAGTAGTCCTGCCTGCCTGGGGCATCCTGGGGGTTACATGAGCTAGTCTACATAAGTATACAGACGAACGTCTGGCGCTCGGGGTACCAGCCTTCATCATCGTCATCACCCGTCATTATCATCCTTGTACTCATTTTCAGGAGGATCTCAAGAAGATTAGAGGGGGTACTTGTGAGGTGGCATGAGAGGACAGCCACCGAGGATGGGGAAGAGTGGCATGAGAACATTTGCTGCTTCAAAGTACTTATTTCAAGGCAGACGTGGTCTGTGTTTTGAAATTGCAGAAGTTTGGTCTTGCTTTTTGTTTTGCCTTGTACTTGAAGTTAACACTGACTATTGTTGACGCCGGCAAATGCGTCTAGGTCAGATTTCTGTGGCTCCCCAGCGCAGCACGGCATCCTCAGAGGGGCTGCGGTGTGATGGCCCAGGCCCAGCCCCTCAACCCCAGGTTCTGTGACCCCCCAACAAGTTACCTCACTGCTTGGACCCTCTGTTTCTTTGTATGTAGAGACCCAAGCTGTGCCTGTTCCCCGAGGCAGCTCCCCAAGTCCTGGGGAAATGCCCCACACAAGTGAGGTTCTGTCAAGAGGAGGGGCCCCTCTTTGTTCCGTTCCAGATGTAGAAGGGGGGACGGCTCCCCTCAGACACCAGCACTTTACATAAAGAAGCAGCGCCCACAGATTGGCTGTGTGTTCGCTGAAGAAGCAGGCTCGTTAATCTGCTCAGCTTGCAAAAGTGTTTTCTTATCAGATAATAGAGATGATGGCAGTGGTGGCTCCATCCCACTGACTTGTGGTTCCCATAAATACCACTTCAAGAAGATTTGCACTGTTAAGCTTTTTTCTCTCTTTTCCTCACCCCCCTTTTTGTGCATGAAGTTTCCATCTGTTTACCCAAAATGGAAGCAAAAGAGATGAGAATAACTATTGGGTGAATTCAGTACATGTTTCTGTATATTCCCCGGACTGG